AATGGTGATGAGTTAAATTAAGATGTAAGAGTTAACCAGTAAGTTAGAGAGCTAAGCGGGGCAGTGGTGGCACACGCCTTTAATCCCAGCACTTGGGAGGCTGAGGCAGGTGGATCTCTGTGAGTTCGAGGCCAGCCTGGTCTACAAGTGCTAGTTCCAGGACAGGCTCCAAACCCACAAAGAAACCCTGTCTCGAAAAGCCAAAAAACAAACAAACAAACAAACAAACAAACAAAGGTTAGAACTAATGGGCCAAACAGTGATTTAATTAATACAGTTTCTGTGTGATTATTTAGGGGCTAAGCAGTCGGGAACAAACAAGTGGCTCCCTCTTATGTTCAGCTGTCCAGGACTCAGTGGTATAGCTCAGGCTAATGGAAGACCTTAGCCTTGTCTAAATGCTGTTGGTTTTGTAGACAAGTAAAATCGAAGAGTTGCTCAGCTATGGAGAAAGATAGCAAAGGAAAGGCTGAGAGGCCAGATGATATTATGGCTAGAAGCCCTGAAATTGGTCCCACGAAAGACCAATTGTGAACCTATGAGACAAGAGGTGGGGCAGATAAGCTAAAACGTCAGTAGGTTATTCATGAGTTCATAATGATAATTCAGTAAATGTAATTGATGAGCGGAGAAAGCTGGAGGCAGCAATGAAAGCAGATGTGGTTTAATGTCCTTGTGGTGCTAGGTTTACAGTGGAAGGGCCTTCTTGTTCCCACGGGGAGCTGGAGCTGTGCTGACTCCATCTCTCTGACTTTCTGTCTCTCTCACACACATTTTCTTGCTTCCTTCCTTCCCTCAATAGGTTCTAAAGTGGAAGCATGCAGGTCAGCACTGTTCCCTTTGTGTGGGGAGAGTGGATGTACGAACTGCGCTGAAAGCACTGTGAAAAGTATTCACGGCTTCAAAGAAAGGGGATCCTAAGGCGCCTCAGGCAGAGGAAAAGGCACGAGAAGACTCTGTAGATGTAGTGGGGGAGATATGTGCATCTCCTTGCTGCTTGCCTTATCATCTTGGTTTTCAACTTTCACATTGTCCTTTGTTAAGCAATGTGTAACGAAGAGAGACTTTTGTCGGGCAGGAGATAGGCAGTGTTGAGACACACAAGCCAGTAGCCAAACACCGGATGTTCAGTGTCTTAGCCCACAACTCGGATGTGAGCCTTTGGCGTAAGCACTTTTTTTACTTTGGTGTAACTACTCTAAAAGAGAAATAAAAATGTAAAAGAAAATTTATCTAGGAAATAGCACTTTATTTAATTTTTTTATTAGGTTCGAGTAAAATTGTGTGTATATATATACATATATATATTAATAATAAATTTCCTGTAAAATGATGTCCATTAATAAAACTATATTGCTATTTACTTCTCCTTTTAGTCCATAATTGTCATTCGTCCATCACAGTGTCCATCAAGAGGGGCTGGGTGGGATGTTCATCTCATGCTATTATACATTATTCTAAGTTATATTGGTGTCATTTAAAAATAATTGTTTTGTGTTCAACTCTTTGCTTACATTTTCAGTTGCTTCTTTTTAATAAATAGAAAACCTGTGTGTGTGTGTGTGTGTGTGTGAGAGTGCACACTATTATGATGTTGGTTGATAGATTTAGTTTTGTGTAGCTAGAGCTTGGCACCAGATAAATATCTTTGCCAGACTCCCCAGCTGTTAACCTGACCTGGAACTCAATATCCAGAAGATGCCTATAAAGCAGGGCTGGTAAGCAACTGGGCACCAGTGAATGGTCCCAAACTTTCGCACCTGTAGCTTTATGAGTTAACATCAGGAAAGCTATATTAATGTAAGTAAAATGATTGTTGTGAAAATTTTAATAAGCGTCATGCAATAGCTCCACCTTTCATCTGGAGGGCGAGCCAGCATATTTGAAAGCTGGTTACTGGCTGAAACACTAAGCTCTTTATATACAGAGCAATGTCACTTCAACAGCTTGGAGTTTCCAAGACTCACTAGCCCTGTGAAGATTCTAAACATGGGCAGGACCAATCATGACTGTAGTGTCTGTCTTGGATTAAAAAGCAAAATGAAATATGTAGATTAAAAACAATTAGATAAGCAAAAGAAAAAAAGAATGGCTACTAAACACACCTTAGGACATCAGAGAGGAATATGTATATTTATGTTACTATTTCTTTTATTTCTCAGCATTTTTAAAATTATTTATTTATTATGTATACAATATTCTGTCTGTGTGTATGCCTGCAGGCCAGAAGAGGGCACCAGACCCCATTACAGATGGTTGTGAGCCACCATGTGGTTGCTGGGAATTGAGCTCAGGACCTTTGGAAGAGCAGGCAGTGTTCTTAACCTCTGAGCCATCTCTCCAGCCCCATTTCTCAGCATTTTGTAGAGGAAGACTTGTATGCTTATGTGCATGAGACATGTTTGTCTAGTTCTGGAATCAGAGTGACACTGAGAAGTGTTTCTGTCTCGTTTTTCTGAAGGAAATTGTGTTATTTCTACCTTAAATAATTGGAAGAATTTTCCAGCAAGATTACATGACTCCAGAGGGCTGTTGGAAGGTTTCAATTCATATTTAGTTTAATAGACATGAGACTATTAAGGTTACATATTTATGAAGATGCCATAGTAGTTTATGCCTATAAAGAAATGTATCCACTTGATCTAATTCCTCAAAATAAAGTTGTATGTACTATCATTTTCATTTCCCCCCATGTTTTTTTCGTACTGAACCCAGTGACTCACTGCATATACTGAACAAGCACTATAACCCTGAGCTGCATTCCCAGCTCGGTGATTCTTAGAGCTTCAGTGACGTAAATATTCTGAGTTTCTGCGTTGCACCATGAGCTGCCAAGATTCTGTTCCTTGTAGTGATATCCTTTCTTGTTTTGAGCTGTGATCATTTCTTTTGCTCCACCATCAAGTTCATTGGTTTCTTCCTGTCGTCTTTGTTCTACTAAGCAAATCTACCAACTCTCTATTATGTAATATACCTCTAAATGTAATATTTATGGGCTGGGCGTGAGGCTCAGTTGTTGGAGTACTTGTCTGGCATACAGGAAGCCCTAGGTTTGATCCCCAGCATCACATAAACCAGGTGAGGTGTCACACAGCTGTAATCCCAGCATGGAGGTGGAGGCAGGAGGATCAGTTCAAGGTTATTTTCACCCAGCAAAGGAGCCCATCTACAGAATTAGATTACGATTACATCTAACTCTCTACATCTTGAACAAATCCAAGGTGGGCCAAAGACCTTAATTTAAAACATGAAATGCTGAACCTGTAGGGGAAGCATAGGGACAACTCTCAAATGTAGATATAGACGACATTTTCTGGGTAGAATTCCAGCATCACAGAGCAGCTTCAAAAATGAACATGCAGGATTACAGAAAATCACGAAGCTCCTGCAAAGCAAAAGCTTCAGTAGGGTAAAAGATGGGAGACACACGGAGACTTTGTCGGTCACACATCAGACAAGGAGCTAATACCCACTATACAAAGGACTGTGACACACACATACACACTGCCGACCAATAAGTGTGCAACGAACTGAACACAGTCCTTAAAATAAACACAAGGACTAAGAAGTATTTTTAAAGGGTGTAATGTCCTTGGCCAGCGCGAGAAATGCAAATTGAAACGTACTGATTACATCCCACCCTTGTGAATAGGGCTATCAAGAAAACAAATGCCAAGTTGGGTGTAGTGGAACACACCTGGAGTTCCAGGGCTACACAAGACTCTGTCTCAAAAAATGAGAAAAAAAAAAAAAAACAGATGTTGGAAAACTCTTTTTGTTCATGGGAATGTAAACTTGTACAGCCACTGTCAGGGTGAAGTCCTAAACAAAAGAAAGAAAAAGAAAAAATATCCCTATACTAAATGTGGAACTACCATATGACCCAGCTATATCATTTCTGGACACACATGTATGCAAAAGACTCTACATCCTGCTAGAGGTGTGTTTGCTCCTGTCCGAGTCACACCAGGAGTAAATGCAATCAGCCTCAATGTCTATCAGCAAAGAAAATGTGATACACGTAATCACATTTCATTCAACCAAAACTAAAAAGTTGTAGGAAAACGTATGAAGTAGAAAGCACTAGGGGAGGTAACCCAAGTTCCGAAAAACAAGTATTAAATGTTTCTCTTAAAATAGATCTGCTTCTAACAAACATGTATTTGAGGGGTGAGCATAGGCAAGCCGAGAAACTAGACAGACCTGTGATGCCGTCAACTTGACAACATCTATTGTCACCTAGGAGAAATTATTTTGATCCCAACTGAGACTGAGATAGGTCTTGCCACTGTGGGTGGAACCATTCTTTGGGCAGTAATCCTGGACCATATAAAAAGGTGACTGTCATCGGGCTGGCTCAGTAGGTAAAAGTAAAGGTAAAGCTTTCCACGCCTGATGACCTGAGTTTGGCTCCCAGGAAACAGCGGGCAGGACCAACTCTCAAGTTGTTCACTGACCACCACAGAGAAAACAAGTGCCCACATATATACACCAAGGTGCCATTTTAAAGGTTATCTCAGAGTGAGTACACGCATCCACTGCCTCCTGCTCTTGCTGCTGAGGCCTCATAAGGGGAACTATAGCCTCGCAGAGCTGGAGTGAACCTTCTCTGCCCTAAGTGGCTTTTTGATCCTGTTGGCATCACAACAGGAAAGAGACTGAGACAGGGCCCTCAGGAGGTAGAAAAGGTTTAAGGAGGATGAAGAGGCTGAAACAACAGCCCTGTGAATGAAAAAAAAAAAAAAAACATCAGGGAAGCCTGGACAGGCAGGCAGATGGGAGAGAGGATCAACCACAGAAAAACATAACATTTTAAAAAGTAGTCACTCTGAGATAGATACTATTTACTATTTCTCATTTTCCTCTTACTGACATCAACTATCTTTTCTGAATTTTGGACTGGATTCAATGTCAAAAATACACAAACATAACCAAATTATTCAGTAGTAACAAAGCCAGCATTCTGTATGCAATACAAAAAGCAGTCATTGATACATAACTCAAGCATAAACAGTGTACTTTATTAACAACAAAATTGTAACACAATAACTTAGAAGTGACAGATCCAATAATGTAACAAATTAAGGACAAGACTAACAAACAGGCATTCTTCAGCTCACTAGCGTCTCCTTTAAACAGGAAAAGCCCCTAGTCTAGTGGTTCTGGCCAGGTCTGCACATTACAGGAATGCAGACTTGACGCCCAAAACAACACAACAACAAAAGACTAACTATGTGTAAAGCCCACCTTCAAATAATTGAATAAAATTTCTCTAGGGTGGGGCTCAAAAAAAAAAATAAAGAACCTGTTAAAGTGCTATCAGTGTTGAGAACTGCAGGGCTAGAGTAGTCAACAGTAACAAAATGTACTCAAACCAAAACTCAATACACCAACCACATCATTCCTTTCACTTCAGAAAAGGGGAGGAGGGGCAGGCATCTACTTCTTACTGCTCTTTATCCAGTTTTTGGCTATATCCATTGCCTCTAATAAACAGCAAATACTGAAAGTTAAAACAAGCTACCCAAATGGAAATTTTCACTAGTTTAAAATTTATAGACTTCTAAAACAATATTAGCTTAAGAAACAATCTCACGTTTTAAATTTGCATAGATACTCAAGTCTATTTGTTCAACCAAGAGGAGCCAATAAAATGTACTAGAAAGTATTTATTAGCATCAGCTATATAAATGTTAAATGTGTTCATTCCATGTACCGCAAGAAAGCTTTTTGGTGCAGGGGAGCATTTGACAGAGCAGGAGAGGAGGAGCTGAGTGCTTCCTCTAAAGCTGCCAACACCTTTCCAAGATAAGCATCTCCACAGTTAGAGCAGGAACAAAACCCTGTTCATTAAAAATGCAAGTATTTTGCCTCCAACCATGTTATTTCTTTAACAAATCTCCATTAGGATATTCAGTAGTAATTACAAGTATTTAAGCCTCAAAACTCTTCCTCATTTTTCAGGTTTGACAACAGTACCATGTCAAATGTCAAGGACGGAAAATAACATTTCCTTTAGTTCTTCTCAAATTAAAAAAATCCACTTCTTCAGTTTCTCCTGTCAGGATTCCATGTCAATCTCAACTACTTCATTCTTGTCCTGAAGTGTTTCTGTCAAACTGTCTGCACTCACATCTTCAAGAGCCGCCAGATCAATGGGTGGTAGAGGGTTCCTCCAGTACTGGAATGTATTGTACTGCCAAAACTCTTCCCTGGGCTTTATGGGAAGAAGAGAGATAAAATGTTAGCACTGTTTAGAAACCCGCACCCCCCCACACACACACACTGTAGGGATTATCTCCTTCTCTCAGCTGTGCAGGTTGACATGCCCAGAATCACAGCACTGAGGGCACTGAGTGGAAGGGCTGTAAACTTAAGGCCATCCTGGGCTACCCTGGCTCAAAGAGATCAGAGGACAACCTTCAGGAGACAGCACCCCCCTTCCACAATGTAAGTTCTGGGGACTGAACTCAAGTCCTTAGACTTGGCAGGCAGTGCCTTTACCTGCTAAGACATCTTGCCAGCCCAATAACTACTTTTTAAATTCCCTGTCTAAAAAAGACTCAGATATATTTTACACACTCTTTTCCATTTTTAACAAAGGCAGTTTTGATTTTCATAAAGCATTTCACATACCCAATCAAATCTGTGGGTTTGTATTTGCTAAGGGTTTAATTTAAAAAAAAAATTCCTTCAATAGCATCTTCCCAAAAAAATTGTAATGCTGTAAAATTTTGATTTATGTGTATGGGTATTTTGTCTGTGTACTGTGGGCATGCAGTGCCTGAGGAGGCCAGAAGAAGGCATCAGATCCCTTCAGACTGGAGTTACAGACTATTGTTACAGGCTGATGTGAGTCACCATGTGGGTTTGAAGAATTGCACCCTGCAGCCAGTGTTAAGTTCAATGAGAAATATAACTTACTTTGATTTTTCCTGATGTTTAGGATTGAGACTAACATAAAGGCCAAAATAGTTCATGACCTCCTATAAAGCTTAGTATATAAACTTGCTAAAGAGAAGAACACAGAACTATCGGTATGACAGGCAAATAGGTCTACCAAGCCAAATGAATGGTGACCCCTTAAACTTTAAGCAGTTTACCCTAAATGATTACAAAATTACTTTAAGTAATGAAGTGAAAATTGGCACAATATCCTTAAAATACTCCATGAAAGACAGCAGCACTGGAGTCCCACAAAGGCTGACGTGTGACAGTTCTTAGCCTGAACACCCTGGCCTTACTCTGCTGTGTTAAATTTACACTTGCTACAGTAACTCCATCCACCGGAATGGAAATGACCTGTACTTACTTCTCCAATGATAACAGAAATAAAAACAAGGGAAATTAACTTTGATTTTCTTTAACCCAATATAGCAAAAATATTGCTTCAACATTTCAAAACTTAATGGTATAAGACACTCTTTTCAAAATTAAGAATGTACCTTACACTTCTACTATTCAAAGTGGCTACATGTCAATACTCAGGGGACACATGACAAAGTAGACAGCAGGATAAGCAGTCATGTTGCAGTCACCCTTTTGACGTTTAGGCAAAAAAGATTAGTCTTTGGGGAAATTCTTAATATTGGGGTAAAGATACAATAAAGTCAAAAGACAAAGGACTGGTGAGATGGTTCAGCAGATAACCAAATACATACATGAAAAACTTTTAAAGGATGATCAAAAAACATTCCACTTTAATAAACAAATGGGGTCAAAATAGTTACCCTCTAGTTCTCTACTTACAAGTACAAAGGAAAAGGATCATCTGATGTAAGCCTAGCAGTGACTGAGAACGAACTGCCATCAAGTATACCTCACTGTGAATAACTGGCAAAAATCTCCGCTCTTACCCCCTTAGAAACATGAATTAGGATCTTTGTGAGAATTAAAAGGTAAGACAGTAAATGCTCACTATTGCTGGATATCACATATCCTCAAATGAATTTATCATTAACTCTCGTCCTAATAAAACATTTCTGAGCCAGGCGGTGGTGGTGCATGCCTTTAATCCCAGCACTCGGGAGGCAGAGCGGGCGAATCTCTGAGTTTGAGGCCAGCCTAGTCTATAAGAACTAGTTCCAGGACAGCTAGGGCTGTTACACAGAGAAGCCCCGTCTTGCAAAACAAAAAACAAACAAAAATTTCTGCTGTTACTGAAAAGTGTAATGCAATATTGGCTAAGCAATTAGTCTGCATAAAATTATACTGTCATTAAAGATATATTTTATATGTAACACATGCACTTTTGGCTTTGTCTTCAGTATACATGTACAATAAACTATCCCCTCTCTATATACACATATAAGCTATGTATACACACAAGTACATATGTACATACATACATTGACTCTGTATATGAAACCATGCAGGACCCATCCTGAAGCTTGACAGCACAAAGTAGATACGAATATTGTGCGTGGAAAGAAGGCATCTGTGGTAGCATTTCCTACATGAGACTATGGGGTTAGGGCAAGGATGGAAGCCCTAATCTGAGCAAAGAGAAATCAGACCAACACTGATGTCAGTATGCTTTTTGATATAGTCTTTCTTTTCTCCTAGACGATATGCTCTTAATACAAAATCTTGTCATTGAAGGCAAGAGAGATGAAGAATTTCTGTCTTTTCATAGTTCTGCAGAAGAGAAGGAACTCAAGAACAGACCTAACAACAGAACATTGCAGGGCTTCATGGCCGCCATCTGGCCGCAACTAACACAGGTAAAAACTGCCATATCTAGCCAATATGTGAGGCAAGACCCAAATGAGGTAAGCAGATGCTGTGCAGATATTAAAAGCTCCCTTTGAGTCAGGTGGTGGTGGGACACACTTTAAATCCCAGCACTTGGGAGCAGAGTCAGGCGGAGCTCAGTGAGTTCAAGGCTAGCCTGATCTACAAAGTGAGTTAGTTCCAGTACACTCCGTTACACAGAGAAATCCTCTCAAATAAACAACAAAAAGCTCCCCATGGCCAACATCTGTCCCTCATCAGCCGTGCACATATAGCAGTCTGCACCTACACTGCACACAGTATATTCTGGTAGGAAAGATAATGTGCGTTAGGGCAGCTTGCCAAAGATGGTCTAGACACCATGCGCCTCTACCCAATGGTCATGGAAGACTATGATTCTGTTTTATGGAAGCTGGTTTTGAACTTCTCACAAATTAACGAAAATCCTAATAAGGCCCACGTTAAATTATATACTTACAACTCGAAACCACAACTAGAAACAGTCACCACAGCATTGAAAGATAATCTTTCCCCACACGTTCAACCCAGCACCCGGGAGACACAGACAGGCAGATCTCTGAGTTAGAGGCCATTCTGGCCCAGGACAACCAAGATTAAATAAAGAAACCCAGCTAGGAAAACGAAACAAAAAGAGAGATACTTTCTCACAACCAAGAGGGAATGAGGAGTTCCAAATAAAAAATTTCCGTTACCAGACTTCGCACGAAAAAAAAAAAATGGCAAAAGTATCTCAATTATTTATTCATGGCATGATTCTTAACTTTGTCATAAAATGTTTAAGACACTAAAAAAAGTCATTGAGCAGATGCATTCCAAGATGGTTGAGGTGGTTTTGCTGAGTTCTGAGAATTACACTTGCCATACACTTGCCAAATACCCTAACCTCCACCAGAACTGTTTTAAAGGCAGGTCGGAGTTCTCAAGTCTGGACAAGGCTGTGCAGCACATATACAATGTGCGTTTATAAACTCATTAGGAGTTTTCCGGTCACATTTTACAAAGTAAAATTAGCATTTCATTCCACCTAATGTGTGAAAAGTTACTTCGTGTGTAACAAAGCACAGACCCTGAGACTCCCCAGTTTTTGGGTTTTTGTTTGTTTGTTTTTTGAGACAGGGTTTCTTTTTATAGCCTCCGGCTGTGCCGGAACTCCCTCTGTAGACCAGGCTGGCCTCGACGTCAGAGCTCCAACTGCCTCTGTCTCCCGAGTTCTGGGATTAAAGGTGTGCATCACCACCACTGCCGGGCAACTCTGAACTTTTATCTTAACCAAATTTTAAGTGCCTACTCTTTTATACATTTACAACACATAAATTTGGATAAGTTGCACTTCTAGTGTTTTACTGGAACAGACAGCGGCACCACCCTTTCTCATAGGACTGAGCATTATGAGTTAACGGGTTCTCTTAAGACCCGACGACATCCTAGCCTTCTGCCCAGCCCAGCACCATGCTCAATTAACTGACGGATGCTACTGGAAAACCTACTACAAGTTCTACAATAATCGCCATTAAACCAAACTCTCTCCCGCTTGCACTGAGCTGACCCTCGGGACCACGGTCTTTACCATTTGGTCCAGACCCTCGAGTGGGCCAGACTTCCGCAGTCTGGGACCCGGCTCCGGGCTTGTGCGGGGCGGACCTACCTGGATGTGCGCCCGGTCGGCTCCGCTGCCCGCGCTCCCCATCCCGTCGTCGTTGCCGGGAACTCGGCTGCCCCGGGGTTCCTCCTGCTCGCTGGGAGGTGGCTCTCCCGGCTCCAGGCCGCGGCAAAGTTGCCGCTCCTGGCCGCCGTCCCCGCCGCCGCGTCGCTTGCGGGGCGCAGCCGCAGGCTCCATGGTCCCCGCGTCCCCCT